GGAATTTCTTAACAAAGATATTTTTTCTGCCTATTTCTGGCATTTTCCCTTTGTCTCATAAACAGTAATTATCTTATACAAAGGACATAAATCCTCCTTTCATGTGAGAAAACAAACATTTCCCAATCATATTTCCCTCATCTCAAAAGAAGGAGGAAATGTTCCACCTTCAGCAGTGAGGTCTAGAGCAGCCATCCACCATCATCTGACAAACCTCACTCATATACATAGCTTGTTGTGTTCAAGGAGAGTGAAGGCAGTGAAGAGCATCCCTAGAGAAGAAGGAGCTACCCTCCTCCTTGGTTTGTTTTCTAAACAAGCCCAGAAAGGTCTCCTACAGGATCTATTTGACAAATACAGCCCTTCACCATTTGAAAGCAAGGAGGAGTTGAGCCTAGGTGCAGAGATGACGAGAGGTCAACAGTGAATTTATGGATTCATTCTTTAAGTTACCCATGCATCCATTCATCACAAATGTACTGATCCATTACTCTGATTCAAGTGCTGTATGGGGACCATCTGTATTTGGAGAGCATATATTGAATTCGTTTATTAAATCAACAAATATTTATTGAACACCTACTCACTGGTTATCTAGAAAGGAACCAGATAGGTAAGGTCCCTACTCTCACTGAGCCTATATCCAATGAGAATTTTTTTTTTTAATATTTTTTTTTTTTAAAGATTTTTATTATTTCCTTTTTCTCCCCAAAGCCCCCCGGTACATAGTTGTATATTCTTCGTTGTGGGTTCTTCTAGTTGTGGCATGTGGGACGCTGCCTCAGCATGGTCTGACGAGCAGTGCCATGTCCGCGCCCAGGATTCGAACCAACGAAACACTGGGCTGCCTGCAGCAGAGCGCGCGAACTTAACCACTCGGCCACGGGGCCAGCCCCCCCAAAGAGAATTTTTTATAGAACTCTTAAGTCAGAGGGCATTCTAGCCTGCAGATAGAAACCTTTGAGGATAATTTTCCTTGTTTGTCAGCATATTTAATCCCCATCAATCATTCTTATTCTTGAAATATCTTGCTTATCACTGGTGGTGTTGAATATCTTCCCAAGGCTCTATTCCATTCACATAAAGCAATCACTTTGCCCTTGGGTGACCATTTACATTAGTAATTGCTTTCAATTATAGTCAACAAATTCGCAAACTTTCTCTAGAAGGTGTAGTATTACAAGAGGCTCCACAAGAATGGAATCACAATCTATTTAAAAAAAGTAAATAATTGACTCTTAAGAAATCAATATTGTATGTGCTGTGCGTTTTGTCAAAAGGATGTCTTTAAAAACTCTTAAGCAGATATCCATTAAAGAACATTAGAACACGGAAGTAGGCTAAACTTTTTCTCTTCGCATATACACGACACAGAGAACATGTTGCCTTGCTTTAGAAGGCCAATATGCTAGAGACAAAGAGATTCCTTGTCAAGGCTGGTACCCACATACACCTGAAAGAGGTAAACTCATGCCCCTATTTCAACTTTCTTCCATTTTCAGAACTAAAATCAAAAGAACAGAGTCACACTTTTGTAAATTACTTAGTGCTATTATCAGATCTCTTGCAACTACATACCAATCAAATAACATCAAAAGTTTCTAGGTTATGCAGTCCAGCTAATAAAGATGTCATGTAAATAGTTAACCAGCTACAAACCCTTAAAAACTTAAAAAAAAAAAAAAATCTATTTAAGAACTTTTCATCTTGACAAGTTTCATGAATTAGTGCAGTACATAATAAAAGATCTTATGGAGTGGGTTTGAAGTTAGCTAATAATTGTTTGAGTAACAATTCAAGATTTAAACTAGAGCTCAATTTCACTGTTGTCACTGGTGTTGAGATACTCTTGCCAGGAAGAGAACATTCCAGTCATTGTTCCTAATGGGCTGTCTGCTGCCAACTAATAACTACTTAAGTTCCCAGGTATCATCAGGGGAAATCTCAGGAGCCCCTGGGAACTAAGAAAATGTACATACTCAAATATCTGGCATTTTTCAATCCAATTTCAGGAACATTTTAAATATTTATTGGAAGTTAGACAAAATACTACATGATAATTTCCTATTCTGCAGAATTCATAAATCATCATACTTCTAATTACAAAGAGAAAACATCCATCTTGCCAGCAACTTTTACGCTAACCACAAAACAATTCTTCCTTCAGATGAAGCATTCATGGCATGACGTACTTATGGGAGCAATAAAAAGCACCTGGTTTTAATAAACACGGCAAGATATGTTCTAATTAATTCAAAAGCAAATTTTAATGTAAATTTTATACATCAATTATAAACAACAGAGCTGTATTATTTACTTATATATTTATTACAAAATTATACTTTGAAGGCTTTTAATTTCAAGTTGATATTATGACAACGTTGTCACAATGTGTGATGGATAGACATGTATCTGTAAGTATAGGGAAAGCCAAGCTCTGGCTGAATAGTACTTAACAATAATAATACAGGCCTTATTAACGAGATTAGATCCTTTCATATTCATTGTTAATTTTCTTTTCTCTTACAAATCACCTAAATGAACTAAGTTTATATTTCCGACAAATACATGGGCTACTGCATTACTATAGCAATTTTCTGCTTCTGGCAAGGATTGGTAAAGGTCCAACCAATTCTCTGCCCCAAATTTCATTAATTAAAACATCAAGGAGTCATAACTCACAACCAAGTATCCCAAAAAGCTATAATTTATAGTGACATTCCCCTTTTCTGACTTTTAAATGTTGCTGATTGCTATTCAGAAGCATTAGCTTTGAAAACAATCATTATCTTGAAAATAGAATCCAACATAAAGATGACCACATTCACATGGAACCTATATGGGTATGTATTTGAATATGTTAATAACCTAAATTCAATCATTGAATGTCCATGTGAGCATCAAGTGAATTCATGCCTCACTGTGTGCTTCTTTGCCCATTATATGAGAAACAGTAGCTACCTAGTGACTTTTAGAAACCGTTTTCAGCGACTTGAATTGTTTATTGAAACGAAAATACCTAGATTCTCTAACATTTTCATTCTTCATGTTGAACAAAAAGCTGCGTAAGAAGATATTCATCAGTCTTTGAGAATCAGTCACAGAACACTATTATTCTGGAACCAAAGTAAACAATCCATCTCCTGAGACCAAAATGTCTTCTGAAAACTGTACCTTTCCTATTGAATGTTACTGCAATTAGAAAATTTAAAAAGATCATTCTGATTGTAAACACAAAGATTTTAGATTGGCTCTATCTCTTTTATTTATACGAAAGTTAGAATTGAAAAGCATGAAATGTTTGTGACTACAAATACCATCATTTTGTGATCACATGTTATTCTCAAATTTCCTGAAGATTGTTTCCAAAATTTTTAAATTAATTATTTCTTAAAATTTAGAAAAAGATGATCTGGTAGAGTAGGATTAGCTTGGTGTCCAAAACCGTACAATTATTTGTCTATCTCCTTGGGTTTTGGATTATATCAAATGTTAACCAATCCTTTATAAAGTTTCCACTTTTATATAATACAAACTGACATCAGATGATGAATAAAGAATAAAATAATTACCATGATTTTAGTTTGAGTGCAAATTACAATTTTGGTTTACAAACTTAAAATTATATTAACAACTATATTTCAGGTCCATCACATGCCAGGTACCATCCTAGGCATGAGAACACAATGATAACTAGACAGACATGGCACTGCCCTTTCCAAGCTTTACAGCTGTGTTTTCTCTTTTTTTTTTTTTTTTGAGGAAGATTAGCCCTGAGCTAACTGCTGCCAATCCTCCTCTTTTTTCTGAGGAAGACTGGCCCTGAGCTAATATCCGTGCCCATCTTCCTCTACATTATATGTGGGACACCTACTACACCATGGCGTGCCAAGCGGTGCCATGTCCCGCACCCGGGATCGGAACTGGTGAACCCCAGGCCGCCAAAGCAGAAGGTGCGTCCTTAACCACTGTGCCACCGCGCCGGCCCCTACAGTTGTGTTTTCTGTCTTTGCATCTCATAGTTTGAAGTTCATTTGTGCCCTCTTTATCTCTAAAATTTTGAAATATCCATGTATTATGAGGATATTTACAGATCTCAGGAGGTTCAATCCTGGCTGATGAAATATCACTCGAAGCGTGAACAAAAATGAAAAGACAGAAAGCAAATAGGATGCAGAAAAGTTCAATACACAAACTTTCTCAAAATTTATGATCTCAAATTCCTAATATTCCTTCCAGCCATCCACATTTTTTCCTACTGACCAAGACAAAAGTACGTTCGAGTAGTTCTTTTAGCGCATAAATCATCTATCACAAGGTATACAAACATATTGCTCAAATTCTTCTTTACAATCTACAGGGAATTTTATACTATATATTTGAGGAATGCATTGGATGTTATCAGATAACTGTCTTATCGCCAATCATGTCTTCTATCACAGGATGAATCACTTGTCATTTAAGGAAACATCTGGTTTCTACACATCCAAGTAGGGTAGTTTAGATCACTATGGAACCTGGTAAACGAAATGGATAAACTTAATCATGTAACTAAGTTTCACCTGCAGTTTCACCTTTGAGAAGGTGAAAAAAACAAAACAGAACAAAGCAAAAATACCTCATCTACAGCAATACTAAACACTGAAGGAAATAAATATACATTAATTCTATGTCAATACACCACGGAGCTTATTTACTGCTTAGTTTGAAATGTCCATATTTCAACATCCCTGCCCACCAATGTGGCTTAAAATTTTAAGGACTGGAAAAATACAAATATGTAAAGGGAAGCACTCAGTTTTTAGAGCAACTTACACACATCCTCACTGTGACCACCTTCAAACACGCTCATAAGAAAGCATCACCTTTGGGAACACCATTCCATTTTCCCAGAGAAATGTAAAATACTATTAAACTCCCCATTTTTCGTTGTTCTTTCTTTCCACTTTTTCATAACTTTGCATGCAAAATGCCATATTACAAAATGTTCGTATACTCACCTCCTTGAAGGAAAGAGAGTTGTATGGGTAGAGTAGATGGTGCAGTGGCAAAACTCAGGGAAGGAAAGTGAACATGTGCTTCCCAGAGGGAAACGCACAGGGGCGCATGCAAAGTTTTATTGCTCTGCTATTTGGCATACAATGACAGAATTCCCGAGTTAACAATTATAAAAAACAAAAAGCAAACATACGCACACCCAACAACCCTAAACTGGGGTAGCACTCAGAAAGATCAGTATGCCAGAAATATAATTTGTTTTATAAAACCGTGAACTTTCCCAAAGAAACTTTTTATACATTTTGACCAGGACTTAAGCAAAAATACTTCAAAAATAATGCTACTGAATAGTCATTTAAAAAGTAGTAAGGATTTTCTTTTGGCAAGGGGAGTCTTCTGGAATATTTTTTAACGTACTGACACCACTAAAATACAAACCTATTTCAGATAATCTTTACTAACATACTTTTAAAGAATACCTAGACATATTTCTTTATTTTAACATATAGTTTCATTAATTATCAGAAATACCATAATTGTGATATATCATCGACTTATTAGCAAGTAAAACTGGTTTAGAATGTTTTATAGTATTGATTATTACTGTTTTAGTTTTTCAAGCAAACTTAGTCAACTAAATCATTAAAACCTTTGGAATGAGTTAAAAATAGAAATTTCAAGACAACATTCATGCACAAAATAAGTGTGGGGATTTACCTGAAAACTGTATTACTCTATATTGTCGTGCAGACACTACCGCAATTGTATCATTTCCTACCAGGTAATTGTATGCTTTTAAAATTACACCAAGTAAATTACGACAAGTACAAACAGGCATGATTGAAAGAAGAGTTGTGGAAAAGCCTCTATGCCAAAATAAATATATTTTAAAAAGTAAGCCTGTGTTTAAAATTACCCTCTCATTTTTTTGGCATAAAAATTAACATTTGAGGTGTTAATAACATATTTAATAGAACTGAAACACACACACTGGCTCAAGAAACATATGTGTGTGTACGTGTGTGTGTGTGACAAAGACATTTTACTTACAACTTGGGCACTGCAGGCTTGAAAGAGCAAAACAAATCAAATCAAAGTAAAACAGCAATAACAAGGATTAAGGAAGACAGCTGCTTGAATTCTTTTTTAGTGCCTAAAACCACCTAAAGTTCTCAAAGAGTTTTGAAAGGTTCAGCGCATAAAAAGCTTCTCTACAGAATGCTTTCACTTTGGGAACTTTCCAGGTTTCAGGAATGCCCCTCTCTAAGGGGAGCCAAAGCATTGTTTCCGGATTGTATCAGCCACTGTGTTTTTCGTTCTAATTAGTGGTTAATAAAATCTAGCTATACCTTCATCAAAATTTCCACTCTCCCTATAGTATACTAAAATTCTGTCTGAAGCAAAACGAAACTTGCTATCCCACTACTCTCAAATATGCAAGGCAACCCAAAGGGAGATGCTTGTGATGTTAGTTGAGGAACCAGGACTGACCGAACGAAAAAAGGGGTCAAGATCATCATTCCTTATTTTCAGGGATCCTTGCCCCGGTCCCTGCAATCATCTCTTCTGAAACAACAGTCTCAGCCGTTGAGTATAAACACCAGACCTAACTCCCTGGGGCTTTGTACTCCAAGAACAATTCTCCTTAGAATCTAACTGTAAGAAAACACACTTTCACACATAAGCTCCCAAGTACACACACGCAGGACCTTACCTGTTTTTATGCCGAGTCTTTAGCAAATTTCTTCCAAAGGGAGCCATGGTCTGCCAGGCAAGCGAACAGCAAACACTGTATCTCAAAGTTATCTGGGCGTGGGGGGTGGGGATATCTGGATTTCTAGAGTGAAGTGGGGACGACTGGAAGCTTCCTCATCACCTCCTCAGACGTGCCTGGCTTTCAACTCATTAGCAGCCGGCTAAGAGTGTTGCTCCGAGTTGTGCAACTGCTGCTTAACTTTGAACTGCGGGATTGTTGTGGCTGCTACACCTTTGGAGACCTGCCCAGCTGTAGCCTCGAAGAAGGCATTTGGAAGCAGGAAAAGAAAAAAAAAAGGGAGAGAGGAAGGGAGGGGGACTCTATTGTGTTCTGTAGTTATTTGCAGACTTGATAAACTTTAAGAACTGCCAACCCCACAGGCATGGTAATACCCGTGGAATGGAAATTTCACGAGATCTGGAAACCCCCCCTCCCCCGCTTTCCACACCCAACCCCACAAGGTGAACACACACGAAAGGATAGAAACTAAATACCCCCACCTCCCAGCCAGCTCCAGCCTGTGAAAAGTAACTTGATCTTGGCAAGCCGGAATGAGGGCCAAGATCTCTGTCTACAGATTCGACGCAAACCTTTCTGCCCCAGGGCTCAGTGCTGCAAATACGTTGAAGAGTGAAGCTGGAGAGCGGATGGAGGTGGACTGGCAGACCACTTGGGAATCTGAGCCCCCAAGTTCATGATCCTAAGAGCTTCCCCAACTCCACTCCTCCACCCTCTTCAAGTTCATCTTCCCAATGCTGAGGGATCTGAAGGACCAAAGGCTCCAGGGCTGACAGATCACAGCATTGGCATAGGAACCAGCCCGGGTTTGGGGTCTAACTTGCACGGCCTTGACAACGACCCTTGCCCCATCTTTGGCATTTACTGGGCCTTTGGTGCCCTGGGAGTTTGAAGGAAGAGCCAACTGTTTGCTCCTGCCCCTCAGTTAGTAACGAAAGAGAGGACACGCCTAGAGGACTTGGTGGAGCCCGAAGCCGTGCGGTGGCATCCCCCGGGAGCTCGAACCTGCGACCTGGGCCGCCAGGATGGAGCTGGCGAGGGGGCGCGGGGGCGCGGGGGCGGGTGACCGGGTGCCCGGGTGCCTGGCGGTCTCAGCTCCCCTGAGTCCGCGACGCCAAGGAAAGTACTGTCCAAAGGCGAGGGCCCTTAGTGTTTTCCCAGGACTTTTTCTATGGTTTCGCCCCGCCCCCACCCCACTCCCGTCTCGCTTGCGCACCCCTTCCCCGCCCCCCTGCTCCCAGCCGGGCTTCTAATCGTTCGCTTTGGCAGCAGAGGGAGGGAGGGAGGGAGGAAAAAGACATCACAGGACTGTAGGTTCTCTCTGAATCTCACTTCAGGCTAGTGGATCTCTGGACCTTGGCAAAGATCCTGAACGGCTCACACTTTGGGTGGCCACCCCCCCCCCAACAACAGCAAACAAAAAAGTGATCTCAAAGGTTTCTATAATTTTTATATGAGCTGATTTATGCATTATGATTTATTCAGGATTCTAGAGAGCTCAAATTAAATATTATCTATAAGTCATATATATATATATGTATCCCAAATTGTTACAAATTAGAAAACATTACAACAGCCAGAGCTTTAGCACAGTTACCCTTTTTCTATTCCTGCAAGATAAGATAATTTTAAAATATACCCATCTTTTAAATGAATCTATGTCTGTGGTACCAGAGAAAACCTTGAAGACATCAAAAGTGATAATGACATATTTTGTTTTATGTTTTATATGATATATACGCAACATACATACTTTCTATGCAACATAATCTTGGGTATACTTCAGTTTCAGTTCTTGATTTTATTTCACAAGCACACCACAAAAAGTGATTGAAACTATTATGGAAGATTGCCCAGTTATTTTAAACATTGTTCAAAATATAACCCCCTAAAGCTATACTGTTTACTTATTAATATAATGGCTGCAGTCAATTTGCAAAGAATTTTGCATTTACCAATATCCCTATGTTTCCTGTAGTTTCAGTCCAACACCCTTTTTAACATTATTTGTATATGCAGTTTTCATATAAAACGTTTTTCAATAAAAGAGTTTCAATGGGACAAGAGGAAACAGCATTACATCTTTATTAGCATAACCTTATGTCGAGTTTCGAGTTGGCACAAATGAGTCTCATTTAGGTTGTTATTATTCCTCACATAAAATATCATGACAAGCTCTCTGATGTATAAGAATAAACACAAAGGGTGGTGTCCCTCAGATATTAAAAGCTGAAAGCAATCAAAAGCATAGACACTAATATCCAAATAGAAAAATAAGCAAGTAACAATTTTAAAAGAAAATAAAATCATATTTTAAAAAATCAATTTCATTAGTAACCAGATTTTGTATAGGTAAATTGAAATGAGACTTTCTTTTGCCTCTACCAAATTGCCTGATTTTTAAAATAATGATGCTCAACTCAGTCAGTGTGATGGTCAGAGTATGCTACTGCACATGAGTAGTCCAGATTGGCACGTTTCTTGTGAAAATGAATTTGGCTATGTACATCAACAACTTTCAAAATCTTTCAAACTCCTTTATTCAAGTTTATACCCATAAGGGTTTTCCCAAGGAAATAATCAAGGTTCGTTGAAAGGCTTATGCCTATTGATACTCATGTGAGAACTAAATGAAATTTTGCAAACCAAGTGCTGACACATAATATTAGAGAAAGTACTATTTTTCTTTTTTACAGGGTAGAGAGTAGTATCAAAAATTAACTCAACTTGAAAATAAGGTAAACTGATGACTACACGTCCTTTCAATGATATAATTAATGGAGCATTGTCTAACAGTTCCTCCCAAAGATTATCAAATTCTCCGAAAGAATGCTTTTTTTTCCCAACTGATTCGGCCCAGCCTCTGAAATTAGATGTCAAATTGTAAAAAAAAAAAAAAAAAAAAAAAATCAAAGTAGGTAAATTGGAAATGATTTTTGTTCAGAGGTGATAAAAATGATTTTTATCTAGTAGCAAGATAACTCAAAAGGTTCTAGTTTTATTGGCCTGTAGAACGTCAACCAATTTTATACCTAACTTCATTTCATTTCAACCTTTTTTGAATTCTCTCAATATATAACAGTCTCTCCTATTCTCTTTTGGACCAGCTTTACAGTTCTGCTGGGTCTCTCATTAATTTAGGGCAATCTTCAACACTTGCCCACCATGTATTTGTATGAGATTCAAACATTTCAGGTTTTTGAAGATTATACTTTGAAAAATTCTGGGCATGCTTCAGTCCTTTTCTGAATCAACAGGAAATCTTTATAGAAGAAAGACGGTTACTTAACTATACAATCCCTGCCTTCCTGAAAAGATAAAATGTGTAAAATGTTTTTATGGTAGAAAATCAGAATGTTCTTACATTCATCTCTGAGTATGAAGCTCTGCCAAAATAGATAGAGAAGGTGGATTCCCTTACATATTTAGATTAACACGAAAAATCAACATGGAAGATGATACATTATACTTGATAATGAAAGAATGAATGAATATTCTCCTCAAGAGAATAAAGATTCTTTAACTACAGGTAAGCCAATATCAAAATCTAAATAGAGTTAAAACATGTAGTCTGATAGGAAACCCTGTTTTTGAAGGAGGGATAACCAAGCAAATAAATGTATCAATTCTTGGTCTAGTTCATTCACAGACCCAGCCCCTCTTCATATTAGGAAGTCTTTTTTTTTCTTTCTGTTGAATTTTTCCCA